TTCGGGTTTTGCTTATTACGCATATTCCAAATATATAATATACTGACCAGATGGTACAATTCTGATTTTTATATTCAGCCCTTGACTGTACTGTTGTACTTTTAAGATCTCTTTCCATAGATTAAGACTATGGGGATTTCTTAGATTATGGAGAGAAAAGTGAGACACGAGGAGTCCTCTGAAGTTTAGCTTTCTGGCCAACTTGGAAGGCTTGTGATATTAGGCTTAACTCCTCAGTTACTTGTAATTTTATTTCTCCTTGAAGCCTTGTCAGTAGAGCCTGTTGGAAGAAAGCCAGCTTTTACAGCTCAAATCTTCACGCTGCCTTTTCCTATGTATTCACTCTTCTTCCCAAACTCTTGTATTTCAGAGCAGAACTGGAATCGGTACAGACAAGGGCAATCAGTATGACCAAAGTTCATATAGGAAGAAAAATTAAATAGAATAGTGCAGTGTATACTGAAATAAAAACAGTTGAGTGAAGACACTCCCATGCATAAGGAATTATGAATGGTGGAGAGAAAACAGGGAATGCTCATGAAGTGTTTCTCATAGTACAAAAGGTAAGTAGCAAGAAGAAGCTAAAACTGTACAGAAAGTATTTTATTTTATTTTGTGTGCAGCTCAGCTATGGAACTTGCTGTCACAGTATGGCTGTAAAGGGCAAAAGCATTCAAAGGTTCACACACTAAACCATGTCACCCAAGGCTCTGTCCAGCCTGGCATTTTCCACAGCCCTGTTTCCAAACCTACTTCATTTAGGAATTAGATACATTCACAGAAGAAAAATCTGTCAGGTATTACCGGACACATCAAGACAAAGTCACTGTCTCAGAAAATACCTAGTCTGCAAAGTAATAGAAGCTGGGAGAGTTTACTAGAGGAAGGGGCACTGTATTCTTTCTACCCCTTGTTTAAGAAGCCCCAAATAACATTTGTGAGAAATAAGCTACTGGATAAAAAGAACCTTGATCTCATGTTCTGCATTCCCATTACCCTCTTCAATTGCCTTTGCAGTTCTGCAGAGAGCTGAGAAGGTTATGGGGTAGAATCAAGATAGTTAGGGGAATTTTTGCTTTTCATCTGTCTTTGCAGAAAGTATGTCTAAGCAAGGCCAGAGTCTTATCTCTTATTTCTATCCTGGCATGAGTCTCAAGACTTTATTTTTGCTTCAACTGTTCCTTACAGAATAAATGACATAAGGTTATATAGAGCAGACAGTGCTGAATATATCCTAACTTTATTCACAGTTCCCACTCCAGAGGGTTTTTCTCCCTAACTCTGTAAACCCTACATGCAGCAGCACCTGTTGTCATTGTGCTTTGTAGTGCTTTGCCTTTGTTCAGCAAAGTCACACCATGGAGGGTGCAGAAAGCAGCACCTGCTCAGGAATGACTTCACTGAGCACTCAGCCTCTGGTAACTCTGTGTAATCAGGCAGACAATGACAGATGCCACCCTATCATCAGTGATGTAGTTACAGTCTAGACAACCAAATCTGAAAACAAACCCCAACAAGGGTCTTCCTTGTCTGAGTCTTGCTGCCCTCTGGGAGAGGGAAGGAAGGGTACTTTTTGCTGGTATTGGGTGTCACAAAAGTGCTGGTGAGCTTATGTTCCAGCTACAGTCCCTCCATTTCTTCTGAGCAATTTGTCCTACACAAGAGGAGTTGCAAGTACAGAGCTTCCTGAGGAAAACTGAGCCCACCTGTCTTTTGCAAGTCTGGTTAGTCCAGTCATGTGGGTGTCTCTGGGATAAAAATGATTCTGAAAAATCTGGCTAGGCACCATTTTTGAACCATGGAACCAGGTGGGTTTCCTGCCATTAGAGGATATTGTTTAGTATTTTGTAATTAAACTTGGAATTCTCAGGGACACAGCCAGCATCTCTTTGGTTCAGTGTACAAGCATATTGTTAAAATGGCCAAAGCACAGGTAATACAGGAATGATAATGAATAATAGCAAATATATATGATTATTTCACAGCCTAACATACCTTTGTCTCATACTTTTCCACTGTAGACTTGGTTCTTTTTTAGGATATCAAAGGCTAGAGTGACAGGGCAGCTGTGTGCATGGGCAATGTGGGGGTACGCTATGGGAAGAGATTTAAACCAGCAGCATGTTGCTTTCCTTGGCTACTGAGAAAAGCCATAGTAGTATGGAGATCTCTGAAGGCAAGCATATGCTGCTCCTTACATCTGCCTACTAGCCTGGACAGAGAATTGTAGTAATACAACTCAATTACTCTGGGTATCTTGAGTAGCTTGCCTTTGCTTACAGCTTCTTGGCTGTGTTCAGAACCATGGATATATCCTGGGATATAATCTGCATTCACGTAATGCAAAAGATCAGCAGCACTGCCAAGTGAGAGTCACAAAAGCATACTGCGTAGCTGCTGCTGCATCTTACTGATGTATAGCCTGCAGATACCAAATCTGCATAGGATCTTTCTGACTTCCAGTTGGACAAGGCTTGAGCTGTGCAGGGGATCATCAGAGCTGTGTCCTAGCCTCAGGCTGCTGGCTTTCAACAGCCAGGACATGACAAGGAGTTGTCTCTTTGTAGCAGAAGGCAGAATTCAGATCTTACGACATTCTAGGCCACTTGTTTCCAAGGGGAGCCTAAAGCGCTGGTTAAATGTAACCTACTCCCTTAGCAAAGAGCATTCAGTGACTGAATTCCAGCAAGACATGGTTACTGTGTATTTATGTGCTTAATTTAAACAACAGAGACAAGGGTTGGTGGACTCCAGTTCATTTGGAGATGGCGGGTCTTGCATGAAAAGTATCAGCAAGCTGACTCATGGTGCTCTTGACATACAGTTCCTTGGAAAGGTCCATCATGGCTTACCTGGTTTTCTGTTTGCATAAGCATATAAGCAGACCTTAATATGAATATGGCCGTTTTTTTTTCTCTTGTCCTGCTGACATAATTACTGGGGGAAAGTGCTTATCAGTACAGATCCATTCTGCTTGAAGGCACTGGACAGCGAGTAAAACAGAAATAAATGCAAATCTTGGTTTTTATTATTTATTATGACATCAGCATTTGTGAAAATACTGTAGCTCTGGTGATGATTTCAGCTGCAAAGGGCTTCCTGTAAAGACCACAGAGAAATTAGCTACCAAGTTGATGACGTATAGAGCTAGAAAATAATCTAAAATGAAAAATTAATTTTCATCAATGGTTTCCTGAAAATAAGCAATTAATTATTTACTACTACTAGATATATATTTATCTTTTAGTGTTCCACAGGTTCAGGAGATCTCTGGTACATAGTTTCTACATTAAAAGTACCTCAAAGACCGCCACAGTTGTTTTTGTTGTTTACCCACCCACCCAAAAAAAAAAAAAAAGAAAGACAGGACAGAAACTGTTTGCTGTGCTCAATTTCCACAAAGCACATCATCCACTAAGCACACAGGTGGGGAACAATTCATCGTCACTTCAACTGGAGCATTAACTTATAGAGTCACAGTTCACTGACAATCCTGGCCATCAGCTATCACCAGTTTTTCACTCCAGGAAGCTGGCAGCGCATGGTCATAGATAAAAAAAAATCTGGGAAACTATTTCCAGTTTCTTAAAGGTTGGTTTATGCCCTAAAATCTGAAGCTTACTGGTCTTCCTATTATTGCTGCCAGAGTTTTGTTTTGTTTTTTTGGTTTGAGTTTTAGTTTTCTGGTTTTGTGGGTTTTTTTTTTGGGGGGGGGGTGTTTGTTTGTTTGGGGTTGGGTTTTTTTTTTCTTCTTTTTTTTTAAATAAAAATCCTTATTATTGTAGTTCTGTAGTTCTAGGCATTCCCTACCCACCTTCAAACCTTCCTGGCATCATTCTAAATTTCAAAATCCTTTTCTTCAGACACAAGTTCTACACTCCAACCTTAAAATGCAACAGTGGATTATGCATTCATAATACTTCCAAACACAAGCAGGATCACCCCTTGTAAGTATTTGGATAAGGGACAGCCCTTCAAAGCCCAATATCCTATGGGAAATGCTAAGGCTGATTCACCAGGTGCCAATATTCTGTCTGGTAATTCACAGTTGGTACTCTTCCAATTAGCAGTAGGAAACATAACCTCTAGTGCTGCCAGCTGCTACCTGAGCTGCCTTTTTTATCTATAGCCTTTTTATTTTTTTCCCTAGTCTGCTCTATCTTTTAACAAAGATTCAGCATCAAGACAACGGCATTAAAACACTCGATTAACATTAGCTGATGCCGTCACAAAAAGGGCAAATAGCATATCCTAGAGAGGGAAACAACAAATTGAAGGCGGCAGTTATACTGGGTAGAAAGCATTCGCGGTGCGAAGAGGAAGGTCTAATATAGCAGAGTGGCTGTTCTCTCCTTGGGGCTGGCTCGCTGTAGGGTGTGCGTTGTTTTCAAGGCACAGGCAAGTAGATTGAGTCATGACCCTCTGCACCTGCCATCTGAGGAAAAAGGCATAGGTCCTGCAGGGCTCACAGCCATATATTTGATCCACTGATTTCAAGGGATGACCAGCGCCTGCACACGTGCTGGGGTGCAAGCCTGCCTCCCCGTGTGGGATGTTGCGGGAGAGAGGGGTTGCCCTGCGGCAGGGCTACACGGAGAGCATCGCAGGCTGGCGGAGCTGGGAAACGAGATCCTAGCCCTACCGGGCCCGGCCGCGCTCAGCAGCTGAGCGGTGAGGAGGCCAGACAGGCCCGGGGCCGGTCCCCGCCTCAGTCCTGCAAAGCGCACAAGGCGTCTCCCGGCCCCGCGACTGCAGCGGCTGGAGCCGCAGAGCGTACACCGCAGGCCACACACCGCACGCAGACATCGAGCCCACCCCTCCCGCCTTCTGCAGGCAGGAAGGGGCTGCCATGGCAACCGGCCAGGCCGCATCCCGCCCGACCGCGCCGTGCTCCTCCCGTGGGGCGGCTGCCGCCGCAGGGTCGGGGTCCGACGGCGCAATCCCCCACTCCTCTCCCCGGGCCCTCTACGGCCAGCGGCAACCTCCGCCGCCTCTCCTGGCTCTGAGAAGGGACTCCCCGCGCTCCACGGGAAGAGGGAAGCCGCAGCCGCCGGGTTGTGTCCGTGGCGGACGGGACCAGGCTCGGCCCCAGCCCGGCTGCGCCACGGGGGCCTGCCCGGCGTGGGAGAGGAGGAGGAGGAGGAGAAGAAGGAGGAGGGACTCCGCAGCGGCAACAACTGACGTGTCCCCGCCATGGAGCTCGGCGTGATTCATCAGCGGCTGCGGGGCGGCAGCGGAGTGCCTCGCACCGTCCGCGTGTAGGCACGACAGCGGCGGGGACAGCCCCAGCCCCAGCTTTGCTCCGCTGTCCGCACCGCCCTCCTCCTCCTCGCCGCCTGCTCTGCTCCTGCGGCGACGCGAGGATCCCGGGGGAGGCAAGATGGAAGAAATCCTGCGAAAGCTGCAGAAGGAAGCGTCGGGCAGCAAGCACAGGGCCATCAAAGAGAGCTGCACCTGGGCTATCGGTAAGTGCCCGGCTGAGCCTGCCGCAGCCGGGCTGCCCGAGGGGGAGCGGAGCGGAGCGGGTCACGGCACGGCCTTGCCCGCAGCGGTGCGAGGCAGGAGCCTTGCACGGAGCGGTTTTGTAACGGCGGAGGCAGGGAAACCTCAACAAACTTGTTCCGCGCTGACCGCCGAGCCTCCAGCGGGAGCCGGGGGGCTGGAGCCCCTCAAAACGTCCGGGGGCTTCTCGCTGCTGGCAGGGGTTGTGGCACCTGCTGGCAGTCTCGGAGAGCTTCCGCGTCCCTCGCCACCTCACTTCTTGGGGCTGCTCCGTGGGTCTTGCGGCGCTGATACGGGTGTCAGTAGCTGCTCAGTTTCTGTTTGTTGGGGAGGGGAGTGCCCTCCCCGGTGCCTCAGTCATCGTAAAAACCCCTCGGGTACAGTTTTCTGCATTCTGGCATCTATTTCAAAAGCTGCATATATTTTTCTTTACTGGATTCCATGAGCTGTTTTATCCTTGTTGTGTAATGGAAATGATGATCAATAAAATGAGTTCTTTTAAGGGTATATGAGCTTAGGTACTTTTCAGCATCCACCCATTTCCAGAGATTGTCTGTGACTTGAAGTACTTTCGATACTACCTGGAGCACAAATCAGCAAGACCCTTAACTTAGATTAGCATAACTATAACACTAAAAATTGCTTTGATTTTTTAATTTTACATACACATCTAGCGACAGCAATCTATGATAGTTCATACCTGTTGCTGTTTTATTACTGGCCTTTCAGCTTGATGTGCCATGCATTGCCTCATTAAGTCTGTGTTACCCTTGCACAGCAGCCACACTAACATCCTCTATAGTGTTCCATTACTGTGCTGCCAAAATGCTGATACTCTTACTAATTTCCTCAGTCCTTTCACTAAGGAAAAGATGGTACTCAATGCCTTCTCACTGGGCACCCAGTGCCCTGGCAGATTTGTGAAATACTTTGTCAACTTGGAGCAGCAGTAACTGTTACTCTGTAAGCTGGAGTAGGTATAAACTTTAGGATCATTGGTTCAGAGATTGTAGTCAGATGGATTACGGTGACTGAACTCAGAAGTTTCTTTTAAAAGCCCTATTGTTTCCTTTGGTTATACAGAAAGCTTGGATTCTCCTGATGCTGCTATCAAGATACCTCCATATCAGCTAAGGTAAGGACATTTAATATTGAATCCTGTGGAGCTGTTGAGTGTTTGTAAAACTGAAGGAAAAATGGGAATTCAAAGTGAGGTAGACAGAGGAAGGGGATGAATCTATGTGATTTCTTTAGTTTGTAGATCTAGGCTGGTAGTAGTAGATAATTTGCTGATGAGCCCTTGGCCTCTAGCCATGAATGAAATATAAGGAACCATGTCAAAATGGGTGCAAGTATGTGTAATGGTGACACTTAGAAAGGAGGGCTGTCTTATGGTCTAAAGAGTTTTCCTTCTAAATTGCAGGCTTCAGCAAAAGTGACAATGATTCTAAGTCTTCTCAGTGTGTTTGTTTTCTTTTAAATCTAGCTAAGTTTTTGTTTACTGAAAATAAATATTCTAGAAACTGAAATGTTATGTCACCATATGAGTAGGACACTGAGTAGGAGCTAAACTCATACACTTTCTATGCCTACCACTTGCTTTAGCCTGCTAGGTTATCTTGACTAAGCCTTCTTCCTGTCTCCATTTGTACACCCATAAAATGGGAGAGGTGGTACTGCCCTCATTTGTAGAGCTATTTAAGATTTCCTTTTGGAAATTCTGTTTGCTATGGAGAAAGCAAAAAGGCAAAATTATTCACTGTCCCTTCTGACTGAACCATTAGGAAGCATGAAAAGAAACTAGCATGAACATTGCTCAAAACAGGACACTGTTTCATACAGCTTATTGTTAAGATGTGAAATGCTTAGGCTTGCCTTATTAGGTAATATGAGGAATGCTAAGAGGTTTGCATGGGTTCAAAAACCACCTGAACAAATTCATGGAAGAAATTCATTGAAGTCTATTGGATGCAAAGGTACCCCTTCTTAATCGGAAGTACTTTAGTCAGATGATTGAGTTTATGAGAGTAGGAGTATTGCTATAAATTTGGCATGTCCTGAGGTCCTCCTAGATATCTGCTATTAGCTGCTGATGGAGGTGATGCTTTTTTACTATGATATTACTCCTGTGAGTATTTTTATCACCTCATTACTCCACTCTTCTCCTTTCAGCTGTGCTTGGTACAGCTTTGTGCAAGGAAGATTAGTCATTGAAGAGCTAGTTATCCCAGAGCAGTCACCACACAGGAAAGGAGTAAGAGCAGTTCTGCTGCTGCTCTGAAGCCTGTCAGCTGCAGTCCACAAGGGGCCTCAAGTCAATGCAAAATGGATGTAGCACAAGTCTGACATGACCACTGCCAGAGAGACATTTTCAACACAGGCTGGACAGCTGAAAACAGCTGGATGAGTAATTCCCAGTAGCTCCATTAGAATTAGATTATGTTTACTTGGCACTTCATCTTCCCATTTATCACCCTTCATCTCTAATACAGTGTATAGTCTCTGTTTTTAAGTGCTGTTACCACATTTTTTCCTTTTCCAGTTGCCTAATGCTTCTTTGCAGATATGCTACCTTTTTTTCTTCTTCCTCCAATATTTTTAATGTTGTCTTTGCTTAGTTGTTCTGTTGTTCGGGTCCTGTCCTCCCCCCCCAATCCTGATCTTTTTCAATAAAGCTAGTACCGTCACAGGTGTAGCTACGATGAAGTAAGCTCTTAACGTTAGACTTGCCAGCAGCAATTCATTCTATTACTGGATGCCTTGCAAGATGAAGGGTGCACTACAGAATTTGAATAAAAAAGCTTTGGTTGTGGGGTCCTTGGTAAGGTTCTGTCATACAACCTCACACAGTGTGGGAGATGTTCCTGTCACCAGTACTCTGAGCTTAGTCTTCATTCTCTGCCAACAAGCTACTGCACACTGAGCCGTATCTTTGGTCTGGGTTTAACCTGCATTATGTGCAAATTAGGTAAAAGTTCATCTTTGCATGGTATTTGTTTAAGAACAGTGCTGTGGTGGCTTGGTTCCTAACACTGTAAAATAATAGCCTTGAAAATAGAGCAATGGCCAGAAATACAGCCAAGTACAGATACCACGTAGGATGGAAACAATCTGACCATGCTCCTGGCCTGCTTTCATCATTATTAGATGCAGATTGGATCATCTGCTGTAATACAAATCAGCCCTTTGCTGCTCATCTGCTTTGAATCTGCTATTCACCCTTTCTGCTTCAGTATTTCTGAGTGTAGTAGTGGAGCCTGGAGATATGTTCTGGAATATTTCATGATACTAGAGTTAGAGTGAAGACAAATATAATCTTTCCACCAGGTAACCCTGGTCGGATCTCAGATCCATAGCCACAACATACTGATAGTGTTAAAGGCAATATGGCAAATAGCTCAAGAGAGAAATACATATCTGTGAAGTCTCTTCCTCAGCAGCTGAATGAGTATTTTGAGTACTGTATGTGCAGGGAGGATGTCCCAGCTTGTCTAGTAAAAAAGTTTGGTGTGTTCTTAGAGTATACTGGATACAAGAGAAGGATGTCAATACTTCTCTAGAGTACATTTGGGGAACTTCATGATGTAGGGCACATTTATACTGCATAAGAGTGGGGGACACAGGTTCATGAGCCAGTTGAGATAGACACCTGGCTCGGTTTCAGAAATAGTGAATCTGGTGAGTACCCCAATCAGTATTGTTTCTGTTCTCTGCAGAGCAGCATCTAGCTTCCAGTAGCAAGCTGTGCTGGTGTTATTGACATCCAACAGATTTGCCATGTGCTTACTTAAGTTCTTTTCCTTCTATAACTGAAGAATGAACTCTGCTCATGAGAATAAGATGTCCAGAGGTTTTTCATACTATTGTCTTTTAAGACCATGATCCTAGGGTGAGAATGGGGAATACAAGTAGCTCTTTGCATTTCCTCAGACTATGACTAGCTGAGTCCAAAGTCTTTTTACATGAGTTATATCAGCTACATAGTTATCTCCATGGTAGATTGGGGTAGATTGCTTCTAAGTTCTGGCTTGCCTGCAGCCTGTCGATAGCTTCCTCTCTTGTGTTGGGCCTCTGTAATGAACACTGGACAGGCTGCATTGCAGTTCCCTGAAGCCTGTGTAGTTAGTCAGGGGGTTCAGCTGTAGTGTTTGTAAGGGAGCTGTTCCCAGCACTTTTCTGATAGCAGTTTAGATAGCACATGCCTGCTGTGCTTGGGAGCACCTGGGGTACCTTTGCCCAAGGAAGTGCAGTGACTGGACATTCAGTCTGGAATGTCATTCTTTAATTAGTTTGATAGAGATATTAGGTGTATCTTCAGAGAGCTAAATGAGACTATTCTGCTGTTCAGCTTTCTTTGGTGTTAATTGGATTTACAAATCAAAATCCCAATTAATGACCTTGCATATTAATTCTAGTGAGGGGCGTTACTTAAATATCTCACTTTTGAAAGAAACACCAATCTCCAGTAAATGTGGAGTTTCCCACAGGGTCCTCTCACCTCTGCCTCAAGAGAAGAAGGTGTGTGGGTTTTTTCAGTACTTTAACTTGTGACCAGTGTATTGAACAAGGGTATGAAATATTAAAGAAAATTAAAGTGGACCAGGATGGAAATTACCTTAACTCAGTTCAAGGCTCTGCCATTCACATTGTCCTGTGAATTCCTGAGAATATAGGGTCACATAACCCATTGCTAACAGATCTGTTGTTGCCTGCCTAGTCAGGCGGTGATTCTCTTTGATGAACAGGTCTTGTGAAGACTAGGTACATACTAAGTGCTTAAGGAGTCTGAATGGATGACTTATAAATAATGAATTAGACAAAAGGAATTGATGTGCTGATGTTTTAACTGGTGAATTGATCACATGGAAAATAGCTAAAGAGACCTTAACGTTGTCTGCCAGCAAACAGTTGTTGGCTACTTTGGGCTGCATTACTTCATTTATTTTCAAGATGACAGATTCTTCTCTAAGGCTAGCTCTTGGCTAATTCCTGACCAGTTTCTCCACTGTTATTTTCAAGGCTGAAGTATTATCCATAAAAAGTAACTAAACAAACAGAAGAAAATGAGCCTTGAAAAAGAATGTTTGATCAGCACAGTTTAATACTTGTGAAGATTATCTACATGCCAGAGAATAAAATAAAAGGCTAGACAGTGCTTGCCAGTCACATACTGCTTCGGAAAAGACTCGGATTTACTAGAGTTTCTTGGAATGCTTTATGTAATGAAGTCAGGCCTTATCGGCTATGTAAAACTCAGTGGCTTTTCATCAGCATGGACTTGGTACTGTGAAGAAGAGGTTGGTTGGGACTGCTGAAGGAGGCTCAGTTTAGTTGTTCTGTTTTGATTTTGCTGTCCTCACTGTAACCTGGAGTCTTATGTACAGAATTTCTTACCACATCCTTGCCATTTTTTTTTTTAACTATCCTAAGGAGATTTTTTCTCATAGTTCCAAGACATCATATATAATTTTCAGGTCTTGCTACTGTCCTGTCATTACTTTTCAGTACAATGGCAAAATAAATTATTTTTTTTTGTCCATTCGTCAGTGTAGCAACTGCAGACTTGAGTTTGAGCTGTTCTGTGGAGCTTGTGTGGCTGTTGTCGACTCCTAGAGAAATGTGTCTGAGTGCAGAAGATGATGCTCAGGCAAGACTCTCAGTAGTATAAATTGCTGTTCATGGTAGTTTAAAGTTTCCCCTGTGGACTTTAAAGTAATGGTCATGAGACATGTTGATGAGTGAGGCATTCTGGTGTAGTAACTGATGTTCTGAAAAAGAACCGGAAAGGCTTTCAAAATGCTTATTTAGCTCTTCGGCATATCTGCATACTGTATGTCTCTGTACCTAAAAGCTGCAGAAGGTAATTGATACCGAATGGAGGTACAGGTCCAAACCTTCAGGGTACCAATTCTGTATGCCTAGTCAGAGAGGTACAGGTCCTGGCTCTCAAAGGTGCTGAGCGTTCCCAAGTACTGTTTGTGTTGGTAGTAGTTCCTATGTTCATTACTGGAAAAGCTTACATCCCTCTGGTATTTCACATTGGCCTTGCAAAAACAGGCAGTATTTCTGAAGTTGTAGCTGGGAAGTCAGAAGTCGGTGGTGAACAAGGTCCTCTGTAATAACCAGCTTATGTCT